GGAGGCAGGAGAGAGAGCTGGTGTTGAAAGCCTACTGAGTGCTAGTCCCCTGGCGAGGCACGCTGTAGGTGTTTTCATGTACCCTCTGCACCCTCCTAGTAGATGGATTGATAACCACTGAATCCTGGGCTCCCCACTCCCCGCTCCTGCGGTCTGGCCATGTCCTCTCAGAGGGGAGCAGCTCAGAGTGTGGAGTCAGTCCTGGGCTTTCCGATGCCTCCACGACTAACAACACTTCCTTTCTTGGTCTCTGCACCGAGCATCATGTAAGATAACGTCGGTGAGGCAGCGTATCAGTCATGAGGCACCGGAAAGCCCGGGCCTCAGGCTCGACCCTCTGAGCTGCTCCCACTGAGCGATGCGGCAGCCTGGCCGGGCCGAGGAGGGGCCTGGGAGGTTAAAATGTCACAGGGAAGCAGAGAGCTGCCAGCTGATGTGCACACACCAGGCTCTTTGCTTTGGGCTGAATTGAACTCGGAGCTCCTAGTCACCCTCTCTCTCCCTTTACCCACAATCCCAGTGAAATAACCATCACAGGGAGGACCGAGGCTGAGTCACTGGTGCCCAGGGCAGCCCCATCGGGGGGAATATTTCCACAGCTCCATGGCAGGTCCTTGCTGTGCCAAACCTCCCATGTGGCCCCGCCAGGAACCGCCAGACCTCCCCAGGACCCAGCAGGGGCCTGTGCGGCTGCTCCCGCGCGCGGCAGTGGCAGTTCTGATTGGCTGGCACCAGCGCCGACACGGTTGTCATGGACTTTGAATGCCGCCTTGGGGGTGACCAGCACGCACCGCACTGCCCTGGAGCCAGGCTGCCTGAGTCTGACCCCTGACTCTGCACCTTATTAGCTCTGTGTGTCCTTGGACAATTGTTTACCCCCCCGTGACTCAGTTTACTCCTCTTTAAATGGGGTATAAACCAGAGCTACATCGTGGAGCTGTTACCAGGAATTGTGAGCTGTCATTTTTAATGCATTTAGGGAAGTTCTAGATGATAGGAGGCACCACATAAGTGTTTGCTAAAGAAAAATTATACATCATATCCATGAGGCAACCGGGGCTCAAAAAAGTTCAGGCAGCAAGAGCTTCTGTTTGAGCCAGGACGCCTGACAGCAGCTCCGAACCCCTTTCCTGCGGGACCCTGTGTTCCTGCGGGACCCTGTGTTCCTGCGGGACCCTGTGTTCCTGCGGGACCCTGTGTTCCTGCGGGCAGCTTCTCCACAGCGGTGTGATGGCGACCGCGCGGGCGAGCCCGTCTCCCCTGCTCTGCCCGCCCTCCTGGGTTCACCTCATTCCTCACCCCAGGCTGCACCTGCCAGTCCAGTGGAGGTTTGTCCCGTCAGATGCCTGAAGTGGGACCCTGAATTCAGGGTTAAGGTGAGTAGCCGCGCGTGGCCAGTGGAGAGCAGGACGGCTAGCACAGCCACACAGAGAAAAAGGTGTCAGAGGCGGGTGTTTGAGAGAAGGATTTTAGAGGCCACATTGCACTTATAATTCAGCCCAAAGCAAAGAGCCTGGTGTGTGCACATCAGCTGGCAGCTCCCTGCTTCCCTGTGACATTCTGGCTCCCAGGCCCCCTCTTGGCCCGGCCAGGCTGCCCACATCGCTCTGTGGGAGCAGCTCAGTGTTGAGCCCGAGGCCCGGGCTTTCCGGTGCCTCATGATTCACACACCTGCCTCTCCTGGCCTCTGCACCTTGTCCTCTCGCTGGCCGCCCAGGACACATCGCACCCTTTCCTGTTCTTTCTACTTCCTCCCGGGCCTTGGCTCCTCCCAACTCACCGCTGGTCCCCATGCGCTCCACTCACCCCCTTGGCCTGCCGTGGCCATACGTCCGTCCGGGTAGCCGCTTGCCTTGGCCCGTCGTCCCCGGCTGCTCTCCCGCTCGTCCTCTGACACTCCCCACCCCACCCCACCTTCGGGGCTCCTCGTCACATTGTCCCCCTTCCTCCTGCGCCTGCGGTTATGTTCCCCTTTTCGGCCCTCCCCTCGCCCCACCCCAGCCCTCCTGCCCCGTCCCTCTCGGGCCTACCCTCTGCTGCTCTCCCCGCAGATCTATGAGTATCGGAACGGCCACCAGGAGGTGGAGAGCCCCTTCCAGGGGCGCCTGCAGTGGGACGGCAGCAAGGACCTGCAGGACGTGTCCATCACGGTGCTCAACGTCACCCTCAACGACTCTGGGCTCTACACCTGCAACGTGTCCCGGGAGTTTGAGTTCGAGGCGCACCGACCCTTCGTGAAGACCACGCGGCTGATCCCCCTCCGGGTCACTGAGGAGGGTGAGGCCGGCGCGGGGCTCCAGGGTCCCTGCTCCCGTGGGAGGGAGGGGAGGGGCTTGCACACACATGTACTGTGGAGCGGTGACTGCTAACAGTGTCACCGCGGACGAGTCCTACTTTCGCGGCCCGCTCCCTGCACACGGCCAGCCAGCTCACCTCCGCCTTTCCTGCCGGCCGGGCGTGGGGGTGAGAGCAGAAGGTCGACTTCCTAGTCCCTGACTCTCCCCGAGAGAAAGGAGACGGCCTCCGGCCTCCGAGAGGCGCTCGCTTCCCAGTGACCCGCCCCCCCCCTCCCCGTGCTGGACCCTACCTCATGGCTTGAGAAGTTACCCTCCAACCAGTGGTGCAGTGAGCCCCGCACCCCTGTGGGCCCGCAGCCCAGCCTTTTGCTGCAGGGGTGGAGCTGCGCTCTCCCTTGGAGCACAGGCCGGGGGCGCCGCTGCGGGACACGCTGAGACCCGCTGCTCTGCTGGCCTGGCTGCTGTTGTCTTCTGTCTTCCCGCACAGTAACCGCGCCAGCAGCCCTCCCCGCAGAGCCCGTTCTCCTGAGTTTTTACGTAAAAGCTGTGGATTTCCCACAGCTGGCTCCTCGTTAGGGTGGGAAGTCCCCTCGCCAGTCTGACTCCGAAGTTCTGTTGCAATCGGTCGGGCTGGATGAGTTGCTCCTGCGACCGGCTCACTCAGCCTCTCCCACTCCCTCACCCCGTCCTCAGCATTACTGCTGCCCCAACATGCAGCCTGGTGACCAGCTCAGAGGGGTGGCATGAAAGGAGGAGGTTAATGAAAGACAGGCCTCTCCCTGGCAAAGGCCGGGCTCCCAGCGTCCAGGCCGCACATGCATTTTTTTGTCATGTTTTGGGATAAAACGTATGAAGCAAACGAATGCGAAGGACAGATGCCATTGTTTGACCAGCGGTCGCCAACCATTTGGACCTCACGGACAACCAGTGGCCCGCGGGTCTCCGTTGGCGACCGCTGGTTTAGGCAATGTGATGAAAACTAAAGGCAGGTCAGTTCCCACAGTGCAGAAGGGGCCTCAGCCACCTGGATCTAGCCCAGAGGAGCCTGCGCCCTCCCCAGCCCTTGCCCCACACCCCAGCCCATGCCCCTCTCAGCCCGAGCCCCCCCAGCCTGTGCCCTCCCTGCCCGTGCCCTCCCTACCCGAGCCCTCCCAGCCCCCGCCTCTGTGCGAATGAAAGTTGGATGGAAGCTCTGGGAGGTGTCCTGTTCAGAAGGTGGTTGTCCTCTGTACACACTGGTCCTCCCTGGGGGGAGGGGCCTGGCGCCCTCCACTGTCCACCCCCGGGAACTGTTGCCTGGTGACTGCCAGACGCGGGGAACTGGGCCTCTCTGTCTGTCTCCACCTCCCGCTCTGGGCTTTGGCCTCCGGAGACCCCTGGCAGCCAATGGACAGCATGGCAGAGCCGAGCCAGTGCCTGCCGGGCACCAGAGCAAGGCCTGAGCAAGAATAGAAGGAAAACAAGTTTGTTGTCAGAGCCAGGGTGCCCTCGGGATGTTGGGTCACCCAGGGCTTCCTCCTGTACCCCTGCTGCAGGGCAGGCAGCCTGCCTGTGGGAGCTGAGCGGCTCCTCCGTCCTGTGACGGGAGGGGCAGCTGGGAGAACAGAATAGGCTCTCCGCGGGAAGCTAATTAGCACCAAAGCAGGGCAGCTCCACTTCCAGGGCGTCTTTTCTCCCACCACCACCCCGCTTCCGGCCCCTGCTTCTCTCTTTTCCTCTGTGACCCCTCGGCCGGCGCCTCCCTCCCCCTCGGACACGCACGCGCTCGGATTGCTCAGAGCCCCTCGCTCTGCCGCGGGCACCCCCCGCTTCTCGTCCCTGGGCCCCAGAGACGCTTCCCCTTTTGTTCACTCTGGACTCCCTGGTGTAGGCCGCCAGATCGAGGCCCGTCGCGGGGGAGGGGACACAGACGGCTGTGCTGCCGCTTCTGGGCGGCGGCATTTAAAGGGGACGGGTGCGTTCAGCCGCGCACACCGCACACGGCACAGCAAGCCTCCGAGAAGACACCGGGCAGCCCCAGGCCTCGGCTGCACCCGGGCAGGACCCGGGGTGAACCTGGAGCCGGGCCGGCTCCTCGGAGCTCAGGTCACGATGGGCCCTGCAGGGCGTGTGATGAGCAGGGCCTGGAGGGTGACGGGCGGTGAAGAACCGAGGACACGAGTCTAACCAGCTGGCGGGCGCTGGCGAGGCGAGAAACGCTGTGACCTTCCTTCCACCAGGAAGGAGTGCATATGGGGACATTGGCCATGTAGTGGGCTTCCATTCTCATTGTTATTGGTCACGAAACAAAGAGGACCAACATTTACATTCATTCATTCAGCAAATGCGGAGTATTTTGAATATTCCCGGATCAGATAACCAGCTGCTGGTTCAGAAATGACTAGGACCTGTTCGCAGTGAGCGCCGTCAGCGGAGAAGGGAGACAAATGCGTGGCTGCAGTGAGAGGTGCTGCACGGACGGCTGACAGGCCCGGGAGGGAGGCGAATGACTGACTGCGGAGAAGCCGAGGCAGTTTCACGAGGGAGGGGCTCCGTGGCGTCTGGAAGGACCAGGGACTGGACAGCAGGAGGGATCTGGGATGGAGGTAGCAGTGGGAGGTGAGACACAATCTAGGAAGAGTGAAGAGGAAGAAGAAATGTCCACAGGCCCCCAAAGCCCACGTGTTTGAGAAGAGCTTTTGCGAGGAGCTGGGCTGTGCATGGCCTTGCCCGAGATATTAATAGAAACCGGGCTCCATTATGAGGGCGGCGTGGGGAGGGGGGCGGGGGAGGGCGGAGAGGGTTTAAACAGGGGATGTCAGGCTCAGGTCTGTGCCTCAGAAGCAGAGCTTCGAGGACGTGTGGTTAATGCAGGGAACCTCCAATGCTCATTTCTGTGTGGGTTGATGAGCGGGGCGGTCCCATAGAGGTCACCCCGTCCCCGGCGGGCTCACTGCACTGGCCTCCGTGTCTTCGGATGCTCTCTCCCTAGCGATACCCCCTCCCCTCCAAGCTCACGGACATGAGGCTGAACTCAGACACAGGACTTACGTCGGCAGACATTTAAATGTCACAGATATTCTTAAATACATTAGGTTAAAGTAATCACGCAAGTCATTACCATCACTTGCAAATTAAGAAACAGTCTCAGATACGGGAGATGACTGTTCACACACCAGCCAGTAGCAAAGCCGGGCCCTCACTATGTGTATGCCGCTCGATCCCAGGACTCCTCCCCTCTCTCCTCCTCTACCCGCCCCCCCCTTCCCCGATCCCTCCAGACATCTGAGAAAAGCCAGTCAGGAAGCAGACAGAGAGGACAGTCCTTTGACATCTTGTTGAGTTCCATGAGACCCAGGGCTTATCGGCCACACTCAGAACCAGGCTTCCGATACCCCTACCCCCGATAGCAGGTCTGATACCCCCGCCCCGATGGCAGGTCTGATACCCCCACCCCGATGGCAGGTCTGATACCCCCGCCACCGATGGCAGGTCTGATACCCCCGCCCCCGATGGCAGGTCTGATACCCCCACCCCCGATGTCAGGTCTGATGCCCCCGATGGCAGGGCTGGGTTTGCCGACGGCGCACTCTGAGCCTTACTCTCCTCTTGCAGCCGGAGAGGACTTCACCTCCGTCGTCTCGGAAATCATGATGTACATCCTCCTGGTCTTCCTCACCTTGTGGCTGCTCATTGAGATGATCTACTGCTACCGGAAGGTCTCCAAGGCTGAAGAGGCCGCCCAGGAGAGCGCGTAAGCCCCAAGATGCCAGATGACGCTGGCGGCACCCGCGGTGAAATGCTGAGCAAGCGACCCAGTCGCCTGCTTTCTCACCGCGGCCGCTGAGGTGTCAGCGTCAGTGCGCTCATTTCACAGATGAGAACACTGAGGCTGGGGGAGTTTGCCCCGGGAAAGCAGGGCTGGGATTCAGGCCTGCTACCTCGGCCTGTGCCCTTCACCACTGATGTGAAGCTCACCAGCGGCCCCACAGTCCCAGGAATTAGCATCACTGTGACCGTGGCACAGATGCGGGGACAGGCGCACAGAAGGTAAGCGGCTGGCGGGACCACACGGGCAGCGGAGGAGAGCCTGGGCTTGGAGGGAGCCTGTCCGTTCCTATTGGCCAGGCTTCTCCATCACAGCCGTTTGCTGTCACTGGGTGCTCACCAGGCGCTGGGCACGGCGTTCGCTCCAAGCACCATGCTCCTGCCCTGCAGCGGGGGCGCGATTAGAACCCGAGCGGGGCCCTCTTCTCCAGGGCAGCCTAGCCCGGGGCCCTGCTTGCTGCGGCCCAGCCACCGAGGAGTGAGCACGAGTGAGAAGCGCTGGGGCCGAAGGGCGAAGAGACCGTCTGGCCTGTTATCGGGGGCTGGCAACACTGCTGAGGCAGTCACCTAACACCCCAGGCCGCTGCCACCTGGAAATGTGCACTAGCATAAAGCTTGATTTGCATGACAGCTATGATCTTAACGGAGAAGATGACAGCTGACCAGACGTGGGATAGACAGAAAGGCCGTGCTGGGGAGGCCGAGGGGCCCGGTGACTTAGGGGCGTGGATCAGTGGTCGCACAGGCAGTGCCTACCCCTGGACGGGAGCTCCCTGCGTGGGCAGGAGTGCCCACCGTGAGGCCCCGGAGCTGGGACCCGCAGGGAGCCAGAGCTACACAAACGGCAGATCCGACACCCATCCGGCCACAGCCCAGGGAAAAGCCCAGGAAACGCACCCATCCTGGCTGACTCCAAGTGGAAGACAGAAAAGGTTCTTGAGAATTAGCCACAAGCCTGCGCTCACAATGGATGGGACTTACACTCACACCACCCACATGGTCCCGGGACTTACTCTCACACCACCCACATGGTCCCGGGACTTACTCTCACACCACCCACATGGTCCCGGGACTTACTCTCACACCACCCACATGGTCCCGGGACTTACACTCACACCACCCACATGGTCCCGGGACTTACACTCACACCACCCACATGGTCCCGGGACTTACACTCACACCACCCACATGGTCCCGGGACTTACACTCACACCACCCACATGGTCCCGGGACTTACACTCACACCACCCACATGGTCCCGGAAGCGCCAAGCTGAGAAAGTCCATCAGTAACAGCAACGGAAAGCACCCCAGCCGGCGGTAACCAGGCCAAAGCGCGTGCAGCCCTTTCCAAAGGGAGCACCTCTGGCATCAGGATTCCCCGGGTAAGGCAACGCTCATCAAGGAACTTCAGATAGCAAGGACCCAGTAGAATATAGGAAATAGCTTTGTTTAAAAGAGTTGAAGCAATGAAAGGAGGAACCCAAAGCATAAGAATAGAGTAAGTTGCTAAGGAAAAAGAACAGGCAGATTTGAAGAGGAATTTTAAAAGGTGGAAATGAAAAACACGGTCAGAGGTGCCAGGCGGCGTGTGGAGGAGGCAGCATAGGAGGACACGGAGCTCGCCCTCCCACGAGCAAACCAGGATACACACACTTACAGAGAGATGCCCAGGGCGGAACGCACGGCTTCTGAACAGCAACCGAGAGCAAGAGGCCAGGAGAGGAGGCTGGGAGACCGCGGAGGCAGAGGAGCCACGTGAGCGCCACTGTTTACACTGCCCTCTGCTGCCTTCGGGTGGGAGTGCATGGGTGCTGTGGTCAGCCTGCGAGGTCACCTGCCTCTGGGCGGAGGGAGCAGCAGGAACTACCGGGCTTCCCGCAGCACCTGCCTCCGCAGGGAGCCGCCCCAGCTCAGCTCCGGGCAGCTGCAGCCCTGCCTGGCCCCAGCTGGCTTCCCGAACCCCGGGCACAGCAAGCCTAGAGAGAGGTGGCTTCTCCACAGAACCACCTTCTGTACCACAAACACGCGAGAGGCTGCACAGCAGGCCGGGAGCCGCGGGAGCTGCCGGGACTGTGGGGGTTCAGGTCAGAGGTGCCTGTGAGTACCATGGCTTACACCCCTCCACCTCTACCTAGTGGGCCAGGGCCCACCTGCAAGGTCGCTGCAGTGCATCCTGGGACATATCACTGGAGCCCATTTAGGCCCTGAACAGAGGGAGCAAGTAGGACCAACAAGGCCTTTCTACACGCACTGGGCTCCGCACCGAGAACCACTCCGGCTCGGCAGACCAGTGCCCCGGAAGCTTCATGCGCCGATTGGCTCCTACCTGCCCGGCAAAACCACCTGCACACACAGCCTGAGCAGAGGCCGATTCCTCTGTAAGCTCGCTTTTCAAGACGGGGAGAGAGAGCGATGTTGTCGAATTCATATAAACAAACATAGGAAGTCAAACAAAATGAAAAGACAGAAGAATACTGCATCTCTCAAATGAAGGAACAAGAAACAGTCCCAGAAAGAAACCCTAAGGAAGCAGAGATAAAGAATTCAAAGAAACCTGACCGTGGACTAGAAGAACTGAGGAACTTCAACCAGGAGTTAGAAAGTTTAATGAAGATCCAAGCAGAGCTGGATGGGAGAAGATGCTCACCAGTGACACAGCCAATAAGGAATTAATGTCTAAAATACAACCTAACACCAAAAAAAGAAACAATTCAATTAAAAAATGAACAGAGGACATGGATAGCCACTTCTCCAAAGAGGACATTCATATGAAAAGACGCTCAATGCCACTAATCAGCAGAGAGATGCACATTAAAATCCCAGTGACACGTCACCTCACACCTGTCAGAGTAGCTATCAGTAATTCAACAAATAACAAGTGCTGGTGGGGATGTGGAGAAGGGAGCCCTGGGTACTGCTGGGCTGGTAGGGTATTGCAGCCACAACAGAGATTCTCCAAAAAAGTTAAAAATTAGACGGGGCGCAGTGCTTCGGGAAGACTTATTTTTGAGCAACGAGAACCCAGCTGTGGTCTTGTGTGTCACGCTCCTGTCATACACTCCGTGCCAACGTGGGTGAGCACTTTGCTTAGAGTGCTGCTTCTCTAAGTGAAGTTGGAACCCACTAGTGTGTGGGTTCTGTAGCTAAGACCTTTACATTCTTGTGTAGGAAAAAGGCCCATTACTGTTATGGTATCTGGTAATTTATTGGGGAAATGATTTTTTCCATTGCCCACTACTGCTTTGTTTCATCAAAATAAAATAAGTTGTTTTTAAAAAAATTAAAACTCAGAGGTGCCATACAATCCAGCAATTCCACATCTGGGTATTTATCAAAAAACAAAACACTGATTCTACAGGATATATGCCCCTATGTTCATTGCAGCATTACTAATAATAGCCAAGATATGGGAGCAACCTAGATATCCATCAGTAGATGAATGGATAAAGAAGATGTGGATAAAGAAGATTTCATATGTGCAATGAAATACTGTTCACCAATAAAAGGAATTAAATCTTGCCATTTGTGACAACATGGGTGGACCTAGAGAGTATTATTTTAAGTGAAATAAATCAGACAATGAAGAAACAAAAGAGAAAAGACCTATAGATACAGAGATACATAGATATATAGGTTGCCAAAGGGAGGGGTGGGGGGAATGGGAATAAAACCCTATATAATAAAAGCATAGCATGCAAATTGTCCCCTTGACCAGGAGTTTGACCAGGGGGTGGGGCCAGCTGGGGGAAGGGAGGGAGGCCCTGGCCGGCAGCCAGCAGCCTCTAGGGACCCTACCAGTGCATGAATTTCGTGCACTGGGTCTCTAGTGAATATATAAACGCCCTGGCTGGTTTGGCTCAGTGTTACAGCATCAGCCTGCAGACCAAAGGGTTGCAGGTTTGATTCCAATCAAGGTTGCAGGTTCCATCCCAGCCAAGGTAGGGGCTCATGTGGAGGCAACCAATCAATGTGTCTCTCGTTCTCTTCCCCTCCTCCCTCCCTTCTATTCTTTCTGGAAATCAATGGGAAAAATCCTCAGGTGAGGATTAAAACAAATAAATAAATGTAAAATAAAAGTGACAACATCAAATGCTGGCACAAAAAGAAAAGAAAATGTGAGGGGGGGGGTTGAAGTTAGGTAAGGGTAAGTGACATCACCAAGGTCACTGTGAATGGCAGGGTCCATCTCCTGGTCAGGTTCTTCTGACTCCACCTGGCCCCTCCAGGGGATTTAAAGCCACGGCTTTTCCTGGGTAACAATTGATGGTGGTGACTCATTAGCATATGAAACCGTCAGACCTGGCCTTTCCCTGCCCTCCCTCTCTAAATCAAACCCAGCCTTGGAGTCTCTTCTAACCTGTTTCCTACTTCACCTGCTCTCACCTATCAAGCTACCTGGAATCCCCAACCTTTAAAAAAAGAAGCACTCATTTTGTTTAAATCACCTCAGAGGCCTCCTTTAAAAAAATTCTTTAATTACACTAAGTTCCCCGGAGATTGGGAGGGGGTGTCTCATTGCTCCCCCAGTGACTGCACAGTGATGCTCAGTAAGAGTTTGTGTTGGGAGGATGGAGGGAAAGATGGGAGCCAGACGCTACGCAGCCTGGGAGCCAGGAGTGCGATGAGTTTTGTTTGTGAGTCTTCTCGGTAAAGCCCTGGACCTCATGGTGTGGCAAAAAGTACAAAAAGAAAAAGGGGAGGCGGGGGGGGGGGGGGAGAAAAACACAGTCAATACAATTTAAGACCCCATGGATTGGCACCTTATACTGGTAACCAGAAGAGAGATATAACAATGTTACACAGAATGGAGAATGGAGATATAATAAAATGAAATATCACAAAGAAACATGAAGAAAAAAATGAGAAGATCCATTAAAACAGAGAAAAAGGAGAAGAAACAATGAAACCAGTTGGTTGACAAAACTACTGAAAGACTGGAGAAAAGACTTAAATGGAGAATTCAGATATAGAGGCTAAGGAAGGCAGGACTCTTCAGATTTAGGAAGCACAATACCTGGTAAATCCTGAGCAGGATAAATCCATGTAAATCTACACCCACACAGCAAGCACCTCTAAACTGATCAATGGCAGCTAATAAGATAACCTACAGCAAATGTCACCTGGGGCTCCCAACTTTAGAAGAATTGTCTATAATGTTAAAAGCATGTCAAGGATACCACCTCTCCCTGCTTCTCTTCAATATTATATTGGAGATCCTAGATAGTGAACTAAGCAAATGAAAAGAAAAAAGAGTAAGACTTGGAAAGAAACAAACTAAATTATAATTTTTCATACCCACTATGATTACCTGCATAGAAAATCTAAGGAAATCCAGAGTGAACAAACTATTATAACTAATAAGAACATTCCACAGGTTTGTTAACATAAATAACAATATAAAAATACAGAAATTACTATATTCCAGCCACTAAAATTTAGAAAAGCATTAAAGTACTTTCAATTATAATAGCAACAAATACTCTCTGGTACCCAGAAATAAATTTGATAAAAATGTATAAGACCTTAAGGACAAAGTTACAAAACTACTGGAAGACTTAAGAAAGACTTAGCTGGAGAATAAAACCGTACTGTGACAAACATGGCAGTTCTCCCCAAAAGTAATCTGCAAATTTAATTACATTCCAATCAAAATATTTATTGGGATGTTCAAGGAACTCGATAAAGCTGATCTTAAAAGTCACATGGGAGGACCCAAACCAGCTAAACTAAAGGACCCAAACCAGCTAAACCAGAGAGTAAATATTTTAGGCTTTTCAGGCTACACAGGGTCTCTCTGAATAGTGTTTTTTGTGTGTGTTTTTTCTTTGCTTGCAACCCTTTAAACAAGTCACAACCTTTCTTAGCCCCTGGGCCATAGTTTGCTGACTTCAAAGAAAGAACGGTAAGTTTGGAGGGGTGGCTGGTAGGACTTTTGCTGCCAGATGCGAGGCTTGCTTAGAACACTGTCAGAGCAGAGCCTGTGATACTGACATGGCACCCACACGGACAAGCCGAACAAAGGGGAGCCCAATGGGTCACTATGTATGTAAGCCAGCATGTGGCAGAGGCAATGCAGTCACTGAAGGAGGAATGGGCCGTCCAATCAGTGGATGGGGACAATTCCTTGTCCATATAGAAAAAACAAAATAGATTCTCTGTCTCTCACATTAACGAAAAATAAGTTGTGAGTGGATTTAAAGACAAGGTAAAATGCAAAACTTAAAAATTCTATTAAGGGCATTTAAAAAAATATCTTTATGTCCTCGCTGGTTTTGCTCAGTGGATAGAGCAGGGTGGGCAAACTTTTTGACTCAAGGGCCCCAATGGGTTCTTAAACTGGACCAGAGGGCCGGAACAAAAGCATGGATGGAGTGTTTGTGTGAACTAATATAAATTCAAAGTAAGCATAATTACATAAAAGGGTACGGTCTTTTTTTGTTTTCAGCTTTATTCATTTCAATC